AGGGCAGCCTTTTGGATCTTAAGATGTACTTACTTATTTGAAAGGCAATTACAGAGAAAGATCTTTCATCTGCTGTTCACTCCCCACATGGCCACAGTGACCCAGGGCCTGGGCCAGGCCAGGGACCAGGAGCTCCATCTGGGTCTCCCACGTGAATGGCAGGGGCCCAGGCTCTGTCTCCGGGGCGCTTCAGCAGGGAGCTAAATTGGAAGTGGAGTAGGCGGGGCCTCACATAGAGCAGCTGACCCCTCTGCACCTGGGCACTGGGTCCCCTTTCAGGGGTTCACAGGTCGTGGGCTTTTCACCGTCCTGTGGGCTTTCCCCCGTCCTGTGGGTCTCCTGGGTGCAGGTGAGGGACCAGCACCATTTCTCTTGGGAGTAGCTACCAAGGCAGAGCCAGGAGCTTCAGAGTGGAGCTCTGAGCGTGCAGGGTACCATGTGCTTCTTCTGGCCTTAGAGGTGTGGCTTCTCTCTCTGCCCCTTCTCCCCAGGGTGCTGTGGCTGCTCTGTGTTGAGGTGCTTATGGCAGTGCCCAGGTCATGCGAGGGCCACTTCTGATGAGGCCAGGAAGGTGAATCAAGGAGTGGGTGAGAGCCAGCAGGGCCAGAAGCAGGTGTCTGAGGCATCCTCACTGCTTTCCCTCTGCCTTGCTGATGTGGTGGGTGCTCTACTTCCTTACTGTCCCAGATAGCCTTCCTGCCTGTAGAATGACGCAGGCTCTGCCTCCTCTCCTTCCCCAGCTGCCACTCCCCACATTCTGCCAGGGCTTAAAGGCACAGCATCACGTCTTCCCTGGGAAAAAGCTTTTCTCTGTGACCAAGCAGCCAAAACTGGTCTTGTGTGGATATAGGACAGATTATTTCCCATTATAATCTCTGTGAGACCAGAGGTTAGCATCAGGCTCTGACAGAGGAGCGGGCCGGCCCTAAAGGAATGCTCAGGGCACTGCAGCCTCCTGGGGTGCACCCCAGGAGGCTGAATGACTCCCCTGCAGCTCAGATCTGCATGCAGCCTCAGCAGCAGCTGCCTAGAGACCAGGAAGTCTGAGGGACCTGAGGGAGTAGAAGGGAGCCACTTGCAGCAGTGAGGATGTAGAGGAATCATGGGGTTACAGGGGAGCCATGTCTGTCCCTCAGCAGGTTGACCTGGGTCTTCTGGAGCCGCTGTCCATCCCTGGTAGGGGATGGTTAGAACTCCCCACACCCTAGCTACAGAGTGCTGGGAGGCAGGGTCCCTGTAGAGCAACCCCAAGACCCAGCAGGAACTGTCGGGGACCCTTCTCTAGCTGCCCAGCTGAGCAGGGAAGGTTCGTTGTGGAACATCCCTGCCTTGGCATCTGACCGAAGAGGACAGGCCCCGCCAGGGCTCCCCACAGCCGACCGCTTCCCTCTGTGCTAGAGGTGACCATCCCATGGCCACCCTGCTCTGCTAGCTGGCCTGCCCCGGGCCTCCCACATGTGGGCAGGACATGGATTGAGAGGACCCAGACCTGCAGCCCTCTTCTCCAGGGGTTCTTCCTCTGTTCCTGCTCTTGGTGTGTATTCTCACACCAGCCTGTTCCTTTCCAGTTTTCACCTCCACACCGCCCCCCTCGCCTGCCCCACGAGGCTCTGGGTGTGGAGGCTGGCCTCTCCTCCCAGCTAAGTGCTACATCACGTGAGTGATCAGAGTGCCCAGAGGTTAGTGTAATTGTAATGAACAAAAGACACATCTCCTATCTCTTGGCGCCTTCCAGCTTCCCATATCTGGCCTAGTGTGGAGGCAAGATCCTCAGGAAACAGCTCACCTACCAGATGCAGGGCACCGCTCTGCTGCACCCCCCCATAAGTGCCTCTCAGCTGTGGGGCTCCCACTAAGTGTCCAGCAGGAGCTCCCTGTCCTGCCCAGTGTGGCTGACCTCACGGGCATCATTCCTCCTAGCTGCATGCGCCAGTTGCAGTAGATGACACCAGGTTTCTGGTTGGATGGTTGCCATGTGGAACTTGAGCTTTTGCCTTTCTTGTTTGTGTTTTAAATGCTGTCCTTCCCACTTGGCCATAGGCTCCCCTGAACTGAAGGTGCATGTGCTGTCACCACCCCTGCCACCCTGGGCCTGACTCTGACTCTCTTCAGATAGCATTGGCCAGATGCAGCTGGCGTGTGGCTGTTTCCTCTCACCTTCTCCCTTGGCCTTACCTTGCTACGTGCCAAATGGCTGCTATCAGAAAGTGGAGCGTGTCCCAGGCCATGTGGAGCAGGGGAAGTAAAATACAGCTGAGGGAACAAGCCTCAGGCACTTGTTCATGGCTGGAAGCTGAGAGCGACTGCAGCTGGGCCAGGTGCAGCTGGGCCTCGGAAGGCGGTCCTCCAAAGACTCAGAAACCTCTGCTCGCAGCCGCACGTGCCCCTCCCCGCCGCTTGCTGGGTGGCAGCTATGGTCCTGGGGAGAAACGAGAGTGTGGCTGGGAAGAGTCAGGGTGAGTGCAGCTCTGGGCTCTTGAGATCTGCCCATCCCTACATGGCATGGCATTGTTCAAGGTGCCAGTTAGCTAAGATAGCCTGGCTTTCTGTGCCAGATGGCATTGCGATGTGGGTCTAGAGCAAGAAGACAAACCTCCAGAGCTGACATGATGGCTCAGTGGTTAAATTCTCACCTTGCACGCACTGGGATTTCATACTGACAGTTCATATCTTGGCTGCTCCACTTTCCTTTCAGCTTCCTGCTTGTGGCCTGGGATAACGGAAGAGGGTGGGCCAAAGCCTTGGGACCCTGCCACCCGCATTGGAGATCTGAAGAAGCCCCTAGCTCCTAGGGTCAGATCAGCTCAGGTCCAGCTGTTGTGGCCACTGGGGGAGTGAACAAGTGTATGGGAGATCTTCATCTCCTCTCTAAATCTGCTTTTGCAATAAGAAGAAATAAATCAGAAGACACACCTCCCAGTCCCAGTTTTCCGGGTGTGGGTGAAGAGCTTTGCAGGGTGGCTGTCCGAGCAAGGGGCGGGCGCTGCTCCGGATCCATGGGTGCCACCTGCCGAAGGAAGGGGAGGCTGCCCGCAGGAGTGCCTCACCTGGAGCCTGGGAGTTACCTGAGGGGAGGAAGGGAAGAAGTGGTTCAGAGAACTCAGGGGCCTTGTTGGCCCTCTGTGTCTTTCTGGCTTTCTGTTTCTCTAACAAAAATGAGGGGAGGCTGTGCCTTAGGGACAGTCTCAGGCTGTGCCAAGATCATCGCACCCAGGAGGCACTGTCACGGTTGCTGGGTGTAGGGCTTTGGATGGCGAGGTGAGGCTTCAGATTGTGGGCCCTGGCCCCTTTATCCCCCACTAAAAAAGTGTTGTAGGAGGTAGGCTAAATACTAGGTACTCAGTACTCGGCTATGCCACCTGGTGATGGCTTCCAAGAACCCTGCTGTGGTGAGCAGGGTCTGGCAAAAATGAGCCTGTGTGCTGCTCCAGGATCATCAAGTTCAAGTGGCACTACGTCACCCCAGCAAACCTGACTCCCTCTTACTTGGGAACCGTGATAGCAAAATATAAAGCCAGTATGTGGCATAGCAGCTAAAGCTACCACCTGCAGTGCTGACATCCCTTATTGTTCAGCAGTTCAAGTCCCAGTGATCTAGTTCCAATCCAGTTCTCTGCTAATGCTGGTAAGGAAAAGCCGTGGAGGATGGCGTGTCTGCTCGGGCCCCTGGACCCATGTTGCAGAACCAGATGAAGCCCCTGGCCATTGTGACCATTTGAGGAGTGAACCAGCACGTGCAAGACCTCTCTCTCTGTAGCTTTTTCAAATTTTTTTTAAAAATAAATTCAAGTTAAAAACAATGAAAAAATATTGTCTAAGGGTGGGCCTGGCTTGACAGGTGGAAGCAACCTGCCAGTGTAAGTGTGTGCTGGAGGATGGAGTCGGTTAGGTTGAGGTAGGCTTCAACGCATGATGTGTACACAGGAACCTGGGCTGGGGGTGGGCCCGGTGAGGGTTACTGGTGCTCACTGACTGGGCTGCAATTCCACTGATACACATGAAGGCTGAGTGTGTGGTGGGCAGGGTTGGGCTGGGCCGTAGCGTTCATTGGTTTGTGTAAAAGGGCAGGAGATAGATCTGATCCAGCAATTGCAACTACCAGTGTGTGCATTGGCTGACAGAATGAACCAGACCCTTTACTGGCAGGCACACACAGGAGTCAGTACTGCAATCACATCAGACGAGCTTTCTTTGAGGATCCCCCCAGCTAAACCGCTGGACTCAGAACTCCAGCCATAGGGAGAGTGGCAAGACCTGTGGTCTGGCTGAGGAGGCCGTGTGTCAGATGCGGACGGAGGCCTCCTCAGTGGCTTAGAGCAGTGGACGGCATACCCAGGTGCCCGTGGAAGGTATGGGAGCACACTGGGCTCTGCAGAGGACTTTTGGTACCATAGCAGAGGAGGGAAAGTACAAATTGGTCAACTACCCCAGCCAAGCATTGACAACAAATATTTGAGTGAATGGAAATTGGGGGGTGTGCTGTGGCAGCAAGTGGCCCTGGGAAGGATTTCCTCATCCTCAGATCGGCGAGATCCACAGCGTCTCACAGCTGTCGAAAGCACTTGAGCAGAACTCTCAGAACATGCTCCACCTAGGGGAGCCTGGGGTGGCATCGGGTGGCCGTTCCCCGTCGCTGGCTACTGAGGGGGTTGTGGGGCTGGGTGCAGCTTCTCTTTATTGCTTCCCCTCCCCCAGATGTAAGTGGAAGAGAGGGAAAAGTTGGAAACAGCGGTCTCACCCAGGTTCCCCTACTCTTGCCCTTCCCAACCCGATCAACTGTGTAAACAGCAGTGAAAAGAAATTTTAAAAATAATAAATTAATTAAAGCACAAAAAAAGAAGAGCCACCGTCCCCCGTAAGAGGCAGAGGTAGTGAGGGGTGTGCTGTGGCGTGCCCCACCCCATGTGGCTGTTGGGCGCCTTCATTGCCCCAGCAGCAGCCTTACTCACTGCCTGCTCCTCCTGTGCCCGTCTCAGCGTGTGCTTTGTTCTCTTTTTCAGAACGGCGGCTTGGCCTGGAGCGACGATGCGGATGGAGGCCGGGGAAGAGAGATCTCCAGGGACTTTGCCAAGGTCTGTGGGCATTGCATCCTCGGTGATGGGGAAGAGAGCGGGAGTGGCCGGGGTGTTCCTGGGGTGAGGGCCTCACGCCGAGGTGGCCTGACCCACCCGCTTCCTTCTTGCAGCTGTATGAACTGGACAGTGACCCTGAGAGGAGGGAGTTCCTGGATGACCTCTTCGTCTTCATGCAGAAGAGGGGTGAGTGCGCATGCCTGGGCGCCCTGTGAGGACGAGAGGCCTGCCCCGCAGAGAGGGTGCTCATCCAGTCCCCAGGAACAGATCAGAACTGAAGGGCTGGCAGGGTGGGCTCTGGCAAGAGATGCGTGGACTGATGAGCCACACTTGACCCCACCTGACCGGCTAATTGGCTGGTCTATGGAGACCAAATTCAGATGGATGCCTGGTGTCTGAGCCTGCAGCTGCTGGGGCCGGGGGCGGGAGCCGGGCCCCCCAAGAGTCCAGGAAAGTAGAGGCAGCTTTTCTCATGCACACTGGCTGGCAGCTTTGGCTCTCACCAACTTGGTTTATGGATTCAAACACTTCCAACCACAGAATACGCACCCCTGCTCATCAGCGCACCTTCAAATCCTCTGCCATCCATCTTGTTGCCTTCTTGCTTCCTGCATCCCCCCAGAAGCCATCTGCACTTGGACCATGGTGGGACTGACCCGGAGCTCAACGATTCCATTTCCCAGCTTTCTCTCCCAGCACAGCCACCTCCCCTACACCCCACAGTGCCCACATCCTTGCTGGTGGCTGCTGATTAGCTTAGAAAGGCAGTGAGAGTTTGGCGTCAGGGTCTCCGTTCTCAAGCCTGGGAAGCAGCTGAGTGGCCCCACACTCCCAGGTCTACCTGAGAGGAGACACCCAAGCACGGCCTTCCCTCCCTCTTAGTTAGGTGCAGGCTCTGCAAGCTGTAGGAGCTGGTGCACGCCCCATGCCCAGGCGCAGCCATTCCCCAGGAACCCCAGCCTAGAACGGCCTGTGCCTCATTCCCTCTGTCATTGTTCTCTTTCAAGAAGGCTTTTTTTATTATTTTTTTTTGAAGATTTATTTTTATTATTTTTTTATTGGAAAGGCGGAGAGACAGAGAGGAAGATCCTCCGTCTGATGATTCACTCCCCAAGTGAGCACAACGGCCGATGCCATGCCGGTCCGAAGCCAGGAGACTCTTCCGGGTCTCCCACACGGGTGCAGGGTCCCAAAGCTTTGGGCCGTCCTCTACTGCTTTCCTGGGCCACAGGCAGGGAGCTGGAAGGGAAGCGGGGCTGCCGGGATAGAACCTGCGCCCATATGGGATCCCGGGCATGCAAGGCGAGGACCTTAACCACTTGTGCCACCGCGCCGGGCCCCCAAGAAGGCTTTTTTCTTTTTTTCTTTTTTAAGGAGAGTGGAAGTGAGATCTGGGTGACCAGGGGTGAAGATATGGGATGATGTGTTAACTACAGGGACTGGTGGCACTCCTGCCTTCAGTGAAGCCACCTTGGAGCCTGTCAGTCTCAGTGTCCCTGTGTGTCCCCAGGCAGGAGCCTGGGACTCCAGTGGCGTCCGCATGGGGCTGTTGAGGTCCTGAGGAAACCTTGGGGCACTTGGGTCAGGCATCTCCAGGGGACAGGAATGATCCAACGGCTTTGAGAGGGCCTCTCAGCCCAGGGGCCACACCATGCTGCCCTTGTGGCTGGACCTCCCCAGGCAGCCCCCTCCTGACTGCCAGCCATTGTAAATGCTTCGTGGGGACAAGAGTCCCCTCACACCTACCCCAGCCCCCATCTCTCAGACTGGCTTACCTGCCCCACCTCCAAGCAGCCTGTGCCTCCTGCTGGAACTGGAATGTGAAGGTTAGGGTGCTGGGCCCCACCTTGAGCTGCACTGCGAAAATATACTAGCTGGGGGGGAAGGGGGGTTGTGTTCGCCTGTTGTTGAAGGCGAGTTATGGGCTTTCAGGGAACTCGCTATGGCTCACTGTGTGCTTGGGCAAGAGCCAGGGGACTGAGACCCGAAGACAATGGGGTCGCCTTTAAGTTCATGGTGATCTGCCTCCTGGAAAACACTGAGTGGCTGCAGAGGGAAGACTGGGAACAGACTACACCTCGCGGCATGCAGGCAGTCTGGGCAAGGGTGTTCAGGGGGCAGATGCGTTCCCAGGGCCTGTGAACAGCCTGAACCGGAGCCAGCCTCCCAGGAGCCACGCGAGGGGCGGGGCCCTGCTGCGAGCAGAGGAAACGGTTGGCCCCGGGGAGGAGAGCTAGCCCAGCAGGCAGCCCAGGGACTGAATGAGTGCAGCTGCAGGTGATAAAACTGTAACTCGACACTCCTGCTTGTGAACCGCTTTGCGGCCTGACTGTCCAGCTGGGCCGGCACCTTGCTTTCTGGGCTGAGCACTCTGCGGCCCTGGAGCAGGGTGGGCGGGGTGGGGCCGCAGCTGCTGCCTGCCTCCTGCGGAGCTGATGGGCCGGCTCAGTGGGAGTTAGTGTACCTGAAGGTTCCCTTAGCTACACCTCCTGCTCCTGCTGGGCCTCCACGCCGCTGGTTGGGCAGTCAGTTGCTCCTTGGCTGACTGAAAACGAATTAAAACAAATTCTTTGCAGAATATTTCTCTAGAAATAAAGACGTTCCTGCCAGATCCTGGCGGCCCTTTGGCAAAATACAGTTACTTGCCAAAAGCAAGTAACAGTTCTGAACAAGCCCTCCTGGTGGGTCAGCTTGCCCTGGGCTGTCCCAGGAAGCCTGCTGGCTTGCCCGAGATGTCCCTGTGGCTATTGCTGGAGCGGGAGAGGCCTGAGGGCTGGTGGGTCTGGTGAGGAAGGCTGGGTAGGAGCCATCCCATTTTTACTTCATCCTCCAGGGCTGAGGCAGCATGAAGGCAGGGCCCTGTGCGGGCCTAGGTCAGTGATCCCAGCCCACTGGCCTCCTGGCACCCAGGTCAGTGCGCCTCCTGCACCTCTTGTACCACCTTGAGACACGTGCGCTTGGCACCAGCAACCCCGCTGCTACTTCTGGCTCAGCAGGCGACCTCGTCTGCGGCAGCGCCCACATCTCCAGGGTCCTGGTGGGAAGGTGTTGTTACAGCCTGTGCCTCAGTAAGGGCACTGGAGCCAGCTCCCCAGGGCGGGAGGTGCTCCGAGAATGCCCAGACGGGCGAGGGCTGCCCCTTCTGGGCCCTGTGAGACATTCTGTGAGGGCCTCACTCCCACCTGCCTCCTGTCCCTGCAGTTAGCTTCAAGGCTGCAGTTGATCTTGCTGTTTCACAAAGGCGTGGGCATGTGGAGGATTTGGTGGAGAGCAGGCCTTGCTCTGAGGGCTCCTCCACCCTGGCTGCTGGTCGAGGCCCTCGCTCATGTGTTCTGCGCACGTGCAGCACATGGCCTGGGCCCAGGGCACCCGGCCTGATGACTGGAGTATGTGTTGTGTCAGCTAAACAAGTTTTGGCATTCCATTTTCTCACCCTGTGTTTTTTATTGGAAAGGTAAATATATGAAGAGAAAGACCGAGAGAAAGATCTTCCATCCTCTGGTTCACTCCCCAAGTGCTGGCAAAGGCCAGGGCTGAGCTGCTTCGATCCTGGGAACTAAGAGCTTCTTCCGGATTTTCCACGTGGGTGCAGGGTCCCAAGGCTTTGGGCTGTCCCTGCTGCTTTCCTAGGTCACAGGCAGGGAGCTGGATGGGAAGTGGAGCAGCCAGGGTATGAATTGGCGCGCATATGGGATCCCGGTGCATGCAAGGCAAGGATTTAGCCACTAGGCTATTGCACCAGGGTTCTCATTTTCTAAAAGGCAGAATTAGAGAAAAGAGGACATGGCTTTTCCTGCTTTTAGGATCATCCCATGCACATTGTAGGGCCCCGCTTCTCGCCAAGTCCCAGCCCACGCGCCTCCTGGTGCCTGGGCCAGTGCATCTCTCCACCTCTTGCACCACCTTGAGAGGTGTGTAAGACCAGTGCTGTGGCATAGTGTGTTAAGCTGCTGCCTGTAACACCAGCATCCTGCATGAGTGCCAGTTTGAGTCTCAGCTAGCATATTCCCAATCCAGTTCCCTCCCCACTTTCCTTTTTAATGCTTGTTTGTGAAGTTTTATTTATTGGGCTAGACACAATGGCTCAGTGGCTAAATCCTCACCTTGCAAGTAACAGGCATCCATATGGGCACCAGTTAATGTCCTGAGACTGGGAAAGTAGTGGAGGAATACTCAAAGCCTTGGACGCCTGCACTCTTGTGGGAAACCCAGAAGAGGCTCCTGGCTTCTAATCAGCTCAGCTTCCAGCCATTGTGGTCATTTGAGAGGTGAACGAGCTGGTGGAAGATCTCGCTCCCTGTCTCTCCTCTTTGTAAGTCTGCCTTTCCAATAACAATAAATAAATCTGTTTAAAAAGAATACAATTACGGATTGATATTTGAAAGGCAGATCTCAGAAGAAAGAGTGCTTCTGTCTGCCACACCGCCCCTAGTTTTTTCCATCCTTAGCAGTCCTGACTCTGTTAATTTCCACAGCCTGGGGACGGGAGGGGAGCCTGGTTTTTGAAAGGTGTAGTTAGTTTGGGTGGTGCGATTTCATCATTAAAGTTAGCCTCTTCTTTAGAATCTTTGAAACTTGCAGCACATGCCAGCATGAAGTTGTTGATAGGTTTGTCTCTTTCCCGAAGTGAGCTGACAGTGAAATCATCCCAGCTGGGGGAGGGGAGAACCTGGCCCCTCACACCCACACCTATCCGCAGGCTGGTGATCCTAGCAGCGGACAGCTGTATCCAGTGCTGGTGTCCCAGAGGTGGGCTCGGCAGGGTGGAGGTGGGCTGGCAGGGCGTCTGGCTGCGGGGTTGGCTCTCCGAAGGCAGCTCCCCTGAGAGAGGTCGTCCTACCAGCCCGTGTAACAGAGTGCCGAGTCACTGCTTCCTGGCTTTCTCTGCCTGACTTCTGCCTCTCTGGCCTCACCACGCACAGCCTGGCCGATGGGGCTGCCCGGCCTGTTTGCAAACCTGAGTCAGATTGAACCTCCCTTGTGAAGGAGCTTGTCGTGGGGCTGGAGCCATTGTGCTATGCACCCCTCCCTGGATGGCCTCACACCCCTTGGCCCTGGGTTGGAGGGGACACCTGCCCAGTGACCCAGTGGCAGGGCAGGCCACGCCATGGAGCTTTACAGAAAGAGGTGGCCCCAGGCGTAGTGATGGCAGAGCCTCGCCTCGCACCTGCTGTGGTCCTGCCCTAAAGCTGAGGAATGAACAAGCCTAAGACTTCGGAATGACTCCCAGGTTATAGAGCAAGCAGAACTCACCCTGGTGCACGCTTCCTGCTGGCGGCCCGACTGCGGTGAATAAGTCCTGGAAAATCAGTACCTACTATGTGTGTTCTGGGGAGTGGGGCCAGGGTTGCAGTCAATATTCACCTCCCTGGCACACTCCCAGTCAAGCACGGGGCTCGCTGGCCAGCCCTCCTGACAGGCTATGGAAATGATTAATGATCTTTCTCAAAGCCATGAAAAAGCAACAAGGATCCCCAGCTGGGCCGTGCCCTGGCTCTGGGGTCCCTGCCCCAGTGACTCCTGGTCTTGCCTGCCCCCGCTGCAACACGCTGCACTGTCCCGTCCCGTCTGTCCTTAGAGCTAGAAGATGCCCCTCCCCTTCTGCCCAAGCAGGCAGAGGGAAGCCAGATGCTCTGGCCAGTGGGCAGCTCTCGTGCTGCTAGGTCATCTTTGGAGTGCTGGGGCCAGCGTCCAGGGCCCCTCCCAGCAACAAGGGTTAATGCCCTGGAGTCCGGAGGCCTCTCAGGCTCCTGGCCCTCATAAAAGCCTTTTACATCCTACATCCGCCCTCCTCCCGGCTGCCTGGGGCAGCCTTGGCTGAAATCTGATAAGGGACCTCTTTGTTGTAACTGTCAGCCTCCAGCCTTGAGGAGGGAACTGGAGACCAGTGGCATTTCTTGGGGTGCAGATAAGGCCCTGGATTGCTGTCAGAGAGCCCATGATTAATTACCCTCAGTTCCAGCTCTGGCCCTGACAGCAGTGACTGACAGGCTCCAGGCTCCCTGGGGCAGGGCTAGTGGAGCAGCCTGCGGCTCTGCAGGTGCCTCTAGGGCCTCCTACCAGGAAGATGCTTTGCACTTGACCCTCATGGGGTAGAGGACCCCCAGGAGCAGCCCCCTGCTGGCCCTTTCTCCCATGCCAGACCTAGTGGTCCCCCATCTAAGCCACAGTGATTGCCTGCCCTTTCAGGTTTTGATCCATGAGACTTAGATCCAGGAGCTTCCTTCTCCAGAGTGGGGAAACTGAGGTCCAAGGTCCCTGGCATCATGAGTGGGTCCTAATGCAGTGCACGTGGTGAACTGCTGACGTGGTCTTACCTGTGGCCTTACCTCATAGTATCTGTGTACACTGGATGGTGTAAGGTAGCCTCGACTGCTGTGGAGCTGGCCTCCAGGAGAGCCTGGCAGCCTTACCAAGTCCCCCTGGCCACAGTTCCCTACCGTGAAGTAACACAAGACTGCAGGGTGGGCTGGTCTGCAGGGCAGGGCTTCGCAGGCCACCCCAGGGTTTCTCGCAGCAAGGCTGGCTGGTTAGGCTGCATCACCTGGACTTAAGGCCACTTCATCCTGTGTTTGCCCAGATCCTGGGGACTCTGCATCTCCCTTCCTGTGAGCAAGCTTCATGAAACATCTGTGCCTGGGGCTGTGTGGCCATCAGAGACCGTGGCCATCAGAGGCCATGGCCCTGGCTTAACCTTGAATCCTATAGGTCCCACCAAGCCCATCCTGGGACCTTGCGAGCGGAGAAGGAGCCCCTCACCAAAACACGTGTGGGTGAGCAGGGGCCGCACAGAAAATGCTAGGTGCCCCATTGTCTTTTTTTCTGTTACAAAAAACATAAATACATCCAAATTCCCTTCCTCCCCCTACTCTCCCAACAAGTAGAGGATGCAAGAGGGAGGTGAGGGGGAGGAAAGCAAATGCAGAGGAAGTGACAGTGGAGAGGGAGAGGAGAAAGGGGCACTTGGGATATTTGAGATGCCGCATGCTGGGGGCCAGACTGTGGTGCCGCAGTTAAACTGGTGCTTGAGCTGGCATCCCATATCACAGTGGCCAGTTCAAGTCCTGGCTGCTCCACTTTCAATCCAGCTCCCTGCTCATGTGCCTCAGAAAGCAACAGAGGATGGCCCAAGTACCCTCGGTGTTATAGCCATTCATGAGTGAGACAGTGCATGGCTTTTCAGATAAATTAATTTTTAAACGTATTTATTTTCATTGTAAGATCGATTTACAGAGAGAAGGAGAAACAAAGAGATCTTCCATCTACTGTTTCACTCCCCAGATGGTCACAGCGGGCTAGAGCCAAACCAGTCTGAAGCCAGGAGCTTCCTCCCAGTTTCTAGAGCAGCCGGGACGTGAACTGGGACCCAGGTGGGGTGTTGGCACTTGCAGGGAGAGGATTAACCTGTGAGCCACCATGCCAGCCCCCTGATAAATCTTTTTAAAAAAGAACTTTTTTGTATGTGATCTTGTGAGTGCTAGGGAATGTGTGCCTCACGTAAGATGTAGGTTTTTGTTTTGCTGAGAGAGAACAAGAATGCCTTCATCTGCTTTTCATTTCCCGTGCCAGCCCTGACAGTGCTGGCCCAGGCTGAGGCAACACCAGGAGCTCCATGCAGGGCACCCACGTGGCTGGCAGGGACCCAAGCACCTGCTGCCAGCAAGGTGCTCATCGGTAGGAAGCGTTGCTGGGACGGAGACCCAGGCATCCCCAGTGGCACCTCAGCCTCCAGGTCATTCACCTGTCCACTGTGTAGGGTTTCTAACAAGGAGGCAGGTGATGGGGTGATGCATCATTGCCACAACACAGTCCAGCAGCGGTGTGCAGGTCATGTGGAGTGGAAAGAAGCTTTGGGTGGAGTGTACCAAGGTTTAGCCCCTGCATGAACACTCTGGCTTGATGGGGAGCAGGCCCCAAGTATAAGAATGTTCAGGAAGCTTCTGGAATGTGAGCTTGGCAAGACCTGTTTGGGGGGTGGGGCCTGTAAGTAGTTCTCGCTGAGGCTGTGAGCATGCCCGAGTGGGCAAGCCTGAGCTTGCCCTGGCCGCTTTGTCCTTGACCCTCTCAGGACCAAGGTCTTGGAGTTCGGCAGCAGCACTTAGCAAGAGGGCCTGGTCCTGTCATGGGGCTCCCACATATCCCTGCTCCCGGGAGGGGCTTCCTCCTTGTCAGTGCCAGGTCCTTGTGGCTTTTATTATCCTGCAGAAGTATTGCTGGAGGTGAGGGAGGGAGAGAGGAGCAGAGACTGCACCCTGGCCTGTTGGAGCTGGTCTGGGGCCCGGGGCAGCTCTGGAGAGCTCCAGGAGATGAGGCAGGGAGGGACAGGCAGGCAGAGCTGTGGCGGGCGTACAGTAAAAGGATCTTGCCATCAAAGGGCAAGCAGTCTTGGCCCTGCCATGAACAGTGACCCTTCCCTGCGGAATTCTCCCCTCTGACCCCAGGATCATTAATCCCGGGGCTGCCAAATGACAGTCATCCATCAGGCCTGGACGGCAGGGCCCCTCCCACCCTGTCCCCTGGTGCTCGTTAGCGGCCCTTCCTGCTTGGTGCCAGGTTTCCTAATCAAGTCGGTAGCTCCCCTCACTTCCCCTCGGGCCAGGGAGCGGAAGCCACTGTGCCCCTCCTCCCTCTGAGCGCTGCAAGAGGAGGGGCCCAACCCAAAGCTCACCTCCCAGGCAGGGCCTCCCTCCCAGCTGGCTGGCAGGGGGTGGCTACTGAATGAAATCTGAAGGCACCAGAGGAGTCTTAAGTTGCTCAGCTGAAATTATACTGTCAGGCGGGAAAAAAAAAAAACACCAGAAACCTTTGAAATTGTCAAGGCCAACCCTGTTACTCGAATATGGGACAGCGGAACCAGGGAGGCCGAGGACTAAGCGGACCTGCCTGCTTCCTGGCTCCCAGGGCTGCCCTGAGCCTGCCCCAGGGAGGTGACACAGCTCTGCTGTCTCCCCCTGGTGATCGCAGGGACCCCCATCAACCGGATCCCCATCATGGCCAAGCAGACGCTGGACCTGTACATGCTGTACAAGCTGGTGACGGAGAAGGGCGGCCTGGTGGAGATCATCAACAAGAAGATCTGGAGGGAGATCACCAAGGGCCTGAACCTGCCCACCTCCATCACCAGCGCCGCCTTCACCCTCAGGACCCAGTGAGTGGCCCGTGCTGGGTGGGCTCTCTTCCCACCCCCCGGCCCCGCATTCTCCAGAATTAAGTGTGAAGTTCAGTCATTGAGCCCAAGGCCACCGCAGCCAGTGAGTGATGGGCTTAGACTTGGGCCTGGCCTGTGGCTCCTGGCCACTCTGGGCTGTCGCCCAGTAGAGGTCCTGGAGGACTGCAGGTGGTCTGGCCCCACTGGGAGGGTGAACTGTTCTTGTCACTGCTTGATTAAATTATGGGGGGCTGGGGGAACCGAAGCCAGGAAACACAGCTCCTCCAACTGCCTGGCTCTGTGGGGCCAGAAAATCAAGGAGCCGGAGAAAGCTCACACCCGTGTGGGCCTCACGCCTTCAGGGCTACTGTGTTAACCCATTCACTCCCTCAGTGAGCGGGACCGGTGACCTGAAGGGGGCTGCCTCGGAGGCCCCTCGTGTTGCACTGCACAGGCTCCTGGGCTGCGCGTGCTGACGGTGCCCGTGCCTCGTCCCCTGCAGGTATATGAAGTACCTCTACGCCTACGAGTGTGAGAAGAAAGCCCTGAGCTCCCCGGCCGAGCTCCAGGCAGCCATCGACGGCAACCGCAGGGAAGGCCGGCGGCCCAGCTACAGCTCCCCGCTCTTCAGCTACTCGCCTTCGGCCGCTGCTGCTTCCACCGGAGCCCCTGCCCTCCTCACCCCACCCAAGATCCGCTTTCCCCTCCTTGGGCTTGGCTCCAGTGGCGGTTCTGGTGCCAGCGCACGGGGGGCCATGGCCAGCACGCTCAGGAAAGGTGCGTGGGGCCTTGTCTCGCACCGGGTCTTGGGGCAGGCAGGTATGTGGGGCACTGGTCCAGCTCCCATTCCTCTCCAGGTGACGCAGCCGTGGGGACAGCAGCACCTGTGCCAAATCGCCTGACTGTGCCCGGAGCCTTGGCAGCCCAGGGGGCCGGCCCTCGCACAGCCACACTGGAGCAGCTACGGGAGCGGCTGGGCTCGGGGGAGCCCTCCGAGAAGAAGGCTGCGAGGCTCTCAGAGGAGGAGCAGCGCCTGGTGCAGCAGGCCTTCCAGCGTGGCTGCCTGGGTGCGGCACGGCCGCTGCCCGTGAGGATCCGGATCAACGGCAGGGGTGAGGGCTGCACCCCTGCCCCACGGCCCACATGGCTTGGTCAGGAGCCTTGGCCTCCAAGAAGGCAGGTGGTCACTCTGGGAGGTGGCTAGAGGCCTAGAGACAGCCACCCGCCCCTCACTTCAACCCAGGGGCTCACCAGAGACCCACACTTGGAAGGGACAGGCGCCACCCCAGCGCCCTTGGTCCATGTCTGTTTCCCTGCTTGCTCTTGCCCTTGGCTTGAAGCCTCCACTCCTACCCTGGGAAGAGCAGAGGGAAGCTGGTTCCAGCAGGCCGTGCAGGGCCACGTGTCCTGGGCCTGGACAGAGAACCCTGTGTGCCCGCTGCCCAGCCCTGTCTCCTCAGGGTCCTGGCAGGGCGGGACCCAGCAGAGGGGAGGGAGGCTCTGCACAGCCTTGACCACAGCTGTATCCCCCGTGTCTGCAGAAGACAGAACTGAGGCCTCGGCTGCCGCGCTGAACCTGACCGCCAGCAGCATTGGGAGCATCCACATGTCCGTGGACATCGATGGCACCACCTACGCAGGTGAGGCCTTGGAGCTGGGCAGGTAGGCAGAAGCCACCAGCTCCCTGGCACCTGGCGCCCAGTGCAGGGGTCACTCAGTCGGAGGCTGTGAGGTCAGTGCTGCCTGTAATCCGCGTGGAGCCAGCAGTGGCCACCCTCCCAAGCGTGTGCCGTCACACAGGGTCCAGGCTGTGGGGTCAGTGGTCTTGCCATCTTGTGGTCGTCTCTGCCTGGTTAGCAACAGTGCTCGGTGTAGACCCTTGCCAGGTTCCTGCAAGACCTTTGGGGTGCCTTGTCCCTGAGCCCCTGCCTTCCCCCTCCCCCAGTGCTTGAGGCCCCTCTGAACTGGGGGTCCGTGCCCCAGAGGCCTGGGGATGTCATCTGTGTTCAGAATGGATGCAGATGTTCTTACTGTTGTGCATTTTTCCAATTTTTAAGGTTTATTTTTAATTTAAAAGGCAGTTACAGAAAGGAAAAGACAGAATGTCTATGTTCTGGGTCACTCCTGGAGTGGCCACCGTGGCTGGGGCTGAGCCAGGTGCAGGCCGGGAGCCTTGGCCTCCATCCTGTTTTCTGCCATGGGCGGCAGGGTGCTGTGTCCACAGCAGAGCAGCTCGGGGATGTAGGCGCCTGAGCGGGTGGCTTAGCCAGCTGGGCTAGGACGCAAGACCCCTGGTTTGCATCTCTCAGTCCCTGCTTGGCTTACTCAGTGAATGCAGAGGGCTGCCCATGTCTGTGGGCACCGCTGTCCTCCACAGGCTCCCGCTCCACCACTCTTGGGCTGAGTCTTGCCGCAGCAGTGAAGCCCGGGGGGGGGGGGGGTGTGAGCAGGGGCTGCAGGCCGCCTACCGTCTGGGGTGCCCTGTGGCTGTGCCTTCCATCAGGGCACACCTCTGTCCTGGGGACTGTGGTGGGGCCTGGGACACACGCCTGTCCCTCGTATTGCAGAGCTGGAGTGCGGCAGCATTCACAGGAGGTGCCTGAGGAGGTGGGCTTGTTCCTGTGCTGTGTGAGCCAAGCGGGGTAGATGAGGGTTGTGGAGAGCACAGGAGAGGAAGAGGAGGGGGAAAGGAGCTAGTTACCTGCTCTCCCTACCCTCTGCCCACAGTGGCAGGCCCCTCATGTCCTGGGCGCCTGGCACTCTGGTACCCCCTGTGCCTGTGGTTTTTCTGACCTGGGTACCCACAGAGCAGGGCGGGGCACTGACTGCCAGGACTGAGCCACCGTATCCCCACAGGTGTGCTGTTCGCCCAGAAGCCCATGGTACACCTCCTCGCCGGCGCCGCAGCCCAGGGCGGCAGCAGCAGCAGTGCCAGCAGCGCCAGTGGCACCAGTGGCGGTGGCGGAAGCAGCTCGCACTGCTCGCCCAGCCCTACCTCTTCACGGGGCACGCCCAGCACCGAGCCCTCCACCAGCTGGTCGGTGTGAAGCGGCCGGCTGGCCTGCCATCCTGCCGTGCCCTGCCCTGCCCACAGGAGTGGAGGGAGCCCATGCACAGTTTACCTCATCTCACGGGGCCGCGTCCCACACGTCGGCCCCCATCAGGTCCTGCTGTACTCTGGGGGCCCGGAAAGGGGCGGGGCGGCGTGGTCCAATCAGGGATTGTCCTGGGGAAGTGGACGGGGTCTGTGGACGGCCACCTTCCTCCTGGGCACAGTGTAGCGACAATCTGTAAGCCGACTCTGGCGGCCTCCATTCCCTTCCCTTTTAATTTATTTTCCTCCCGCCTTCTGCCGTGACCAGGGCCACTGGTCTCCTGGCTTAGTCCCCAGGAGGGAGCCCCCCCCTTGCCTGCTGCCGGGTCCCCAGGTGGGGAGCTCTCTCATGAGTCTGGAATCAGTCCTAAGGGACCTGAGCCCCCCTCCTAATGGTCCCAGCGAGGAGCCCCCCACCCCGGGTCCCCTGTGGCCCCGCCCTGCCCCCGCTGGCCGGTGCCCCCACTCCCAGGCCCCAGCCTACTGAGGCTGTGGGGCTCATCGAAATACCTCAGATTTGTAATTGTCGTTTGATTCTGCAGGAAGTATTTGCAGCTCTGATACCTTTTTTTATATGTGTTTTGCTGATTTTTGAGGTTTTTTTTTTTTTAATTGTTGTTGTTCTCCTTGTTGTCGTCTTCGTTGTTGTGGCACCAAAGAAAGGCAACCAGATCACCCCAGAAGCCAGCTGGGTGCTTGCCGGCCCAGCCCCCCGGCCTCTTCCCGGCAATGGCAGCAGGCAGGGGCCACTCAGGGATTGCTGCAGCCGGGAGCAGGGTGGTCCCTGGGGGATCAGGGCGGCTGGTGGGCCTGCCTCGGGGTTCCTCCCCCAGCCGCCGTAGCCGCATCCCTCCCTCTACACTCACGCGCCGTCACTGGCACCCACGCCAGTGTCAGTGGCACACGTGCACACGAACACATGTGACTGCATGCCCACATGAACACAGGCCCCGGCCACTGCGGCTGACCCTCCTCTGGCCATGGGAGCCTCGCCCTTCTGGGCACTCTTGGAGGTGACACAAACATTTGGCCAGTGTGTCTTTCTCAGGAGTTTGTCGCAGGGTGTGGAGCCTCTGATTCTCAGAGCTTCTCTCCTGCCTTAGGCCGCCTGTCCGGCCTAGCCCTCTGAGCCTGACAGTGGGGTGCCTTTGGGGGCCACAGGAGAGGAGCCCTGCCCCCCTCCTACCCACCTTTCATGTGTGGTACCAGGACCATGTGACAGTACAGGGGAGCCCCAGGCAGCGAGGCCATACCTCAGCCGCCCTGCAGCTAGTGTCCATGTGTGTGGTGGTAGTTTTCTATCTTCCATGTTCTCGAATGTTTATATTTCAATAAACCTCTACCTCTTGACACAGGCCTGTCTCAGTTCCCTCTGCTCCCAGGGCACAGCGGGGTAGGGTCTGAGGGGAGAGACCCAAACTGCCAGAGCCTGAAGCTTCCCACTGTGGCCCAACTGGGCTGGGCAGGTGGCAGCCGGAGCAGCTCCCACAGGTGGCCTTAGAGCCTCAAGCAGCGTGTCAGCTGGGAGTCCGAGGGGAGCGTGGTGGGGGCGGAGGGACACCCCGGAGCCCCACAGGCCAGTGTTTGGAGGGATCTAGCCTGGAGCTGGGAGTCGCTGGGTGTGAGGCCCCAGGACTCCACCAGGGGTGCTGGGCGTTGGTAACTCGGGCATAGCCTGGAGAAATGCACACGTCGCTGACCCCAAGTGGGCTGGAAGGGGCCCCTCCTGCTGGGCACTGAGGAGGAAGGGATGTGGAAGGCAGGTTCTTTGCTGCCTCCTCCTGGCTTTTACTTTAGATTTACTTGTTTATATTTGAAAGGCAGATTTTTAGAGAAAGCAGAAACAGAGACAGTCTTCCATCCACTGGTTCACTCCCCAAGTGACCACAAGGATCAGAGCTGAGCCTGGTCTGCCACGCGGGTGCAGGGTCCCAAGACTTTGAGCCATCCTCTACTGCTTTCCCAGGCCACAAGCAGGGAGCTAGATGGGAAGTGGAACATCTAACACACGATTCAATGCCTGTATGAGATCCTGGCACTGCGGGGCAGAGGATTAGCTTGCTGTGCTACCATACCAGCCCCCTCTGGCTGGTTTTTAAATTTCTTTTGGAAAGAAATGAACAACTCCTTCCTACTTTGATTACTCCTGGGCAGCTGCTTTTGTCACTTTCCAGCTGCCCAGTTTGTGTCCCAGCTGCTCCTGTATGGGAGACCCAGAAGCTCTTGGCTTCTGGCCTCAGACTGGCTCAGCTCTGGCTATTGCAGCCATTTGGGGAGTGAACCAGCAGAAGGGATATCTTTTTGTCTCCTCCAAAAATCAGATCTGCTTTTCTAATAAAAATAAGTCTAGGGCCTGGTGTGATAGTGTAGTGGCTGAAGTCCTCGCCTTGAATATACCGGGATCCCATATGGGTGCCAGTTTTAATCCCGCTTCCCATCCAGCTCCCTGCTTGTGGCTTGGGAAAGTAGTCAAGGGCGGCCCAAAGCCTTGGGAGCCTGCACCTGCATGGGAGACCCGGAAGAAGCTCCTGGCTCCTGGCTTTGGATCGGCACAGCTCCAGTCGTTGCATTCCCCTCTGTGTCTCCTCCTCTCTGTTTATCTACCTTTCCAATAAAAAATAAATCTTAAAAAAAAAGCAAAATCTAAAGAAAGAATGAATAGCAGAATTAAATGAGAAGGAAATACCTTTCATGCACTGGTTCATTCCCAGATGGCCACAATGGCTAGGGCTGGGCAGGCTGGAAGCCAGGAGCTTCCTGCAGTCTCCCACATGGATGCAGGGGCCAAGGATTTGCGCCATCCTCTGCTGCTTTCCCAGGCCACATCATTGGGGAGCTGGATGGGAAGTGGCACAGCTGGGACTCAAAACTCCTGCTCATATGGGTTGCGGGTGCTACAGGTGCCAATATGGTACATTCAGAAGTTCATGTGAAATTGAGGAGGAGGGGAAGGAGCCAACTGCAGGCAAAGCTACCATGGCTCCTGGCTTCAGACTGGTGCAGCTCCAAAGGCCACTGGGGAGTGAACCAGTGAAGCTGTCTTCCTGCCTGTGTCTCCCACTCCGTGTGACTCTGCCTTTCAAACAAAGGGACACTTTGGCTATCTGGAAAATGACCCCAGAAAGACTGAGAGCTGGCTTGAGTGGAGGAGCCACAGATGCCAGGGGCCACCAGCTGGAGACTCACCTTGCAGCCAAACCAAATAAACCTCCATGGGCAGCCTGGCAGGGAGAGCTCAGCAAGCCCAAGGAGGTGGAGGAAGTCACCTTGTGTCACACAGCCCTCATCACCCCACTGCCAGCTCCTGAGCCCGCGTTCTGACCCGCTGGTTTGTGGACAGTGGGGATCGCTGACGGAGACGGGCTGGAGCACGGCCCGCCGAGCCCTTGCACCACTTTGCTGGCCAGACCTGTGTAGGAGGGCTGTGGCTGGCCTGCCAGCCGGGTGCTGCCACCTCTCACTGGGACCCTGCAAGCCTGCGGGCATGGCTGGCACCCAGCTACCTGCTCCCACAAGGTGAGTCCTGCCAGGGACCTGGGCAGCTGCTCAGGGGCTTTGGGAAGCCCAGGTTGGTGCTGGCTTTTGGCTGTGGTGTGTGGCCAGGCCAGAAGTCCCGATCTCACAGCAGATAATTGGTGCTCAGGAGCTGGGTCTCGGGCTGCTGTGCCATGCCAGGGAGCTGGTTCTCAGCTGAGGGTGTTGAGTGGATCTGAGCCCTGTTGGCATCCTGGCTCCCCACATCATTGCCACCCTTCAGGCTGCACCAGTGCTGTCTTCCAGGACCCACCCAGCACTGTGAAACAAAAGTAGCATTCTACTTCGACTCTGAAACAACAGCTAATCACCTTGGACTCTGTACTTAAGACAGGGCCCAGCATTGTGGCAGAACTGGTCAAGCCACCTTGTATAGTGTTGCCACCCCATCAGGGAGCACCAGTTAAAAGTCTTGGCTGTTCTACCTCCCATCCAGCTCCCTGCTTATGCGCTTGGGAAAGCAGCGGAGGATGGCCCAAGTGCTTGGGTTTCTGCCTCCATGTGGAAGACACAAATGAAGCTCCTGGCTTTGGACTGGCCCAGCTCCTGCCATTGCAGCCGTTTGCGGAGTAGAACAGCAGGTGGAAGAACGAACTCACCTCTGAGATACGTAAGTCTTCACTGAATCAGGGGCTTCTATCTGCTAGTTCACTTCCCAGAGGGCTCAAATGGTAGGGGATGAGCCAGGCCAAACCTGGGCAGCCAGCATGCCATCCAGGTCTGCCATGTGAGTGCAGGGACCCAAGCCCTGGAGCCATCTCCTGCCTCTCCAGATACACATCAGCAGGATACTGGAATAGAAGTGGAGCTAGGTCCTTTTCCCAGGAATGCTTGAAGTGGGGTGTACCCGTACCACCGAGCGCCTGGGGTGGCAGGGGTCCATCCTCCCCTGCGCACTGTCCTTTCCCACTTGCAGCAGGAGCAGCTGACTGCCATGTCCGGCACCCTCACTTCACGTTCGCATCCCCTGCTCTCCAGGAACACACACGTTGCACCTGCTGTGTGGCCACCGCCCAGTTTCCCTCCCCCTTCCCCTGGGGGCGGGGTTGGGGAGCAGGGTCACTGCTAGGGGGCCCCAGCTGACAGCCCTGGTGTGGCCCCACCAAGCTTCTATCTCCAGAAACCAGAGGAGAGGCAGCCCACAGCGAATGGGTCACACCCAACCACCTCTCCCAGCTGCCGCCACTCCCCAGCACGGGCTGAGAGACCAGTGTCTGCCGGGTAGGAGCAGTGGCTCCAGAAGGTGCCAGCTGTGGGCTGGGTCACTCGTGGTCTGGGCACAGAGGCCATCCTCACAGGGCCACTCTGCAGTCGCCCATGCCTTGCCACCGGGGCGTCCTGGGGGCGCTGTTCAGAGCCTGACTGACTGACCTGCAGCTCGAAGCCACCCACGCCACGGCCCAGCCCCTGGCCAGGGACACCAGTCAATTGGTCACGACCAGCAACCCCAAGTATTTCCACTACTGTCCCAGAACAGGCACCCCACCCGTGCAATTCTTGGGTGGGTCTGTCCAGATATGAGTGGGAGCCTGGAAATGGTGGGGTCCAGGGACCCACTGTCATAGGCTGTGACAAGATCATAAGCCCTGCAGGTCCCTGGGCTGGCCCAGCTTTGACCCCGTACTCCCAGCAGCTGAGCACAGCAACCCCCTTCCCGGGAGGATGGCCCAATGCTCTCCACACGCACTCCCCACCACCAAAGGACTCCCCAGGCCCTGCTGCCTCCCCCTAACTGCCAACTCTGCCTTCCCAGTTGGAAGCAAGATCGTGTGCCACGCACGGCCGCCTGGATCTTGGGGGGTTCTCCTGGTCCGTCCAGTAGGAGCCCTGTGGTTGGGCGGGGAGGGGTTGCCCCCCATATCCCGCCAGTCTGACAGGTCTGAGTTCTCAAATTGAAGCGCTAACGGTGGACTGCGGCCTGAAGGTCACGGTGAAGAAGGGCTGTTTCCCGGGCTTTCGGGGCCTGAGCGACACCTCTCGCCCTCACGCCGCGCTGCACACCCCCGGCGCCAGGGGGCGCCAGAGGCAAGGGAGGAGCCCAGGGCGCGGTGGGCGGGGCCTGTGGCCGCCCGCCCCGCTGTCCGTGCCGGCGGCGCACGCATGCGCCCGAGGCGGTGGCGGGGGGGCGGCGCCCTCGGTGTGCTCCTCCGGAAAATGGGCTTCGGTTTGGGGCGGCTAAGGCCGCAGCCTTGGAGGCCGCCGAGTGACCGGCCGACTCGCTTCCTCCGCACGCGCCGCCGCGCGGCCCAGGTGTCGCTCGCTGCTTCCGTAGCAGCGGCCCCGCCTCTCGGCCCCGGTCCCCGGTCCCCGCGCCGGCCGGGAACGCGGTCCGGGCTGTCCCGGGGCGGCCTACGAGCGCCCCACCAGGACGGGCACCGGGCGGAACCCGAGGCTGCGGCCGCGGCCCCGCCCCGAGCTGGGAAGGCGGGGACTCCAGCGCCTTCGAGTCCGAGTGGGCGGCTAGAGCGGCGGCTGCGTCAGGCGAGGGGGCGGGGTCGCCGCGGGCGGAGGCCGCCGCCGGAAGCGGAAGAGGCTCCCGGAGCGGGGAGTGGGGCCTAGACGCGGCCCGGAGCCTGGGAGACGGTGAGTGTGGGCCGGGGCCGGCGGGCGGGCGGCGGGCGGGCGGCCGGGGCGGGGGAGCCGGGTGGCGGACGGCGGGCCGGGCCGGCGGGCGGCGGGCCGGACGCTCGCGCGGCGGCAGGCGGCACCGCGGGCTCCCCGCCCGACCTGTCACCCCTGACCCGCCCCGAGGGCGGACGCCGCAGCCCCCGGCCCTGCGGGTGGGGGTGATGGGGGCGGTTCGGGGTCCGGCGTGGGGCGGCGTGGGGCGGCCCGGCGGGCTCGGCCGCGGCGGTTACCGGGGACCGGGCTCGGCGATGGCTGCATTGCCGGCTTGGCCGCCTTCCAGCCCCTGCTCCGTGCCCTTGGACGGGAGCGGCGGCTCGGGCGGCCCGGTGCGGAGCCCGCGCCAGCCAGAAATAACCGCGAGGGGCCTGGCTGCGCTGCCCGGCGGCCCAGTCCTCGGGCCGGGAGGTGCGGGTGAGCAGCCGGAGCCCCGGGCCGGGAGGGCGAGCGCGTTCACGCGCCTGCAGCCTTGCGTTTTTGTTTTAAATCTTATTGTTGATGTGAAAACCAGAGTGACGGGAGAGCTCTTGCACCTGCTGGGTCACCCCCGATGGCCGCCGCGGGCTGAGTGCCTGTGGGTGCCCGCGGCCCAGCACCTGGCCGTGTGCCACTGCCTGCCCAGGGGCCGGCACCCAGAGGGCAGAGCGTGTCCCCCCTGCAAAGTCGGGGCTCGGCCAGGCTGGGGTGTGACCTGTGGGTCACCCCTGGGAGGGAGCCCTCCAGCCTGGTCCTCGGGTGCCCCGGAAGCCTCCCAGGAGGGCGCGTGCCCTGGCCGGGCAGCGTCCTAGAGATCAATTAGTGCGAGACCTGACTCTGCTGTCCATCCCTGGCGTGGGCACCTGACCCGGGCTAATTGCAGAAAACAGTGAGCTATCAGTCAGGTGATGGCATGACTGAACGACCACAAAGCCGAGCTCTGGGAAACCGCCAGGGACTTGCCCAGGGGGCCACGGGAGCCATGACTGGGGGGTTGGGAGGGGCTTCTGCCTGGGGTCCTGCTCTCAGGCTGATGACCCAGGGCTGTCTGTGACCGGGTCTGGATGGGAGCGGGGCAGGGAGCTGGCCTCGAGGACACTGAGGTGCGGCCTGTGCTGAAAGCCTGCGGGACAGCTGACCCTTAGCCACTCAGGGGAGGATGCTCGGCAGTGAGGTGGGCGTGGTACCTCAGGGGCACTGGATGGAGCTTGGGCTAGAACCACAGATGTTCCTCTGCAGGCCCCTGGTGGCCTTCCAGCTGGAGCTGGGCAGAGCTCTGGGCCTGGGTGCACCTGGGTGAGCCTGTGTGCTGCTTCCCCAGGCGCCATCTGTCTGCGCTCTCCTGGGGTTCCGCGGCAGGCAACTGCTGTGGGTTGGAGGGACCCTAGGGTCTCCTGGGACGCTGCTCGCCAGCCCTCCCCTGGGTTCTGCCCTGGTCCCTGGGCTCTACAGCAGAGGGGGTGCTGCCCTTTGTCTGCTGGCAGCCCTGTGTGACCTCAGAGTTCTCTTCATAAACCCCCAGGGGGCCCCCACCCCATGCTCAGCCACACACACTCTGTCTCCTGGTCTAGATGCATCACTGCAAGCGGTACCGCTCGCCCGAGCCAGACCCGTACCTGAGCTCCCGCTGGAAGCGGAGGAGGTCCTACAGCCGGGAGCACGAGGCCAGGCTGCGCTACCCGGCCCGCAGGGAGCCTCCCCCCCGGAGGTGAGAGGGCCTTGTGGGGGAAGAGGGGCTCCTGATAGGTGGGGGGGGTACAGCCTTGGTGGAGCCCGCCTCTGCCCAGCAGCTGCCTCGCACCTGTACTCCTGGACCCAGCAGGAGCAAGTGGACTCACCCCCATCCCCAGTGTCCCTTGCTCAGCCAGCCCTGGCTCCACTTCTGTCCCCAGACCTTGGGGAGCTGCCCCTGACCTCTGTCCTGTGTCCCTTTCGGCAGCCATGACCATGACCACGTGCCCTACCAGAGGAGGTACCGGGAGCACCGGGACAGTGACGCTTACCGCTGTGAGGAGCGGAGCCCCTCCTTCGGCGAGGACTGCTACGGACCCTCTCGCTCTCGCCACCGGCGGAGGTCACGCGACCGAGACAGGGCGCCCTACCGGCCCCGCAAGCACGCCCACCACTGCCACAAACGCCGCACCAGGTCTTGTAGCAGCGCCTCCTCGGTGAGTGGTGGCCAGAGTGCGCCGCCCGGCTGCCGGGCCTTGGCTGTCTAGTCTCCTGGGCCGGCTGGCGCGGGGCAGTGCCGCCGTCCAGGCGCCCGCTCATCGTTCGGACAGGGCGCCGGCTCCTGTCTGCTGGCCCCTCACCAGGGGCACCTGAAGGGACTTTGGCTCCGGCGTTGGTTGATCCCTTACCTGTGTGTGCGTCCAGGCTGCATGGTGGAAAGGGCAGGGGTCTCTCCTCAGGGACCCCAGCGAGTTTGCTGTGGCCCCACCTGTGCCACAGGAGGCTGGGCCGCAGTGGTGCTGGTTGTGGACGGCTTGCCCTGGGCCCCGGTTCTGCCCAGCCGCAGCAGTGTGTGAGAGCTTCTTCTTGGTCTCATGTTCAGTGAGATGCTGGCGCTGCCTTGGGGGGCCCAGCAGTGGCAGAAGGGCCCCCGCCCCGGCCTTGGGTGGCACGTAGTCCTTACCAGTGCTCCTTGCCTGGTGGGTTCTGCAGGTTGGGTGGGAGGCAGGCCAGTGGAGTGCCACGCTGGGACCTCAGGGGGCCCTGTCCTCTGTGACTGTGGGGTGGCACAGCTCTGACAGGTGGCCTGCGCAGTGCCACATGCTGCCACAGGGAGGCAGCGCAGGTCTGTGGCTCTGCTTCTCTCACTGCCTGGTGCAGAGGTTTGTGGTGGGCACAGGTGCCAAGGCCAGGGAGCTGGCGCGGGCCCACGGGGGCCGTGGCGGTCGGAGGCCAGTCTGCCCGGGGTCGCGGTGTGGAGTCTGGCCGGCAGGACCGTCTGGGGCAGGTAGCAGCTCGGCCCTGGGTGGCGGCTGTCGGCTGTCGGTGGCAGGAGAGGCCCAGCTGGGCTCCGTGTGCGCGGTCAGGCTCTTGTCGCTGCGTCTTGGGCTCAGGCCGGAGCCGGCCGGGAGGGGAGCCGCGCCCGGCGCTCTCTGCGCCTGCTCACTGGCCTGCGGGCTCCTCCTAGCAATAATGTCCGAGTTTCTTTACATACCTGTAGCTGTTTTTACTTTTCTGTTTTTGAAGTCAGTTTGTGTCTTGACGTGTCCCTTGCAATATCCCTATCGTTATATATGCTGTGTGCCTTATGAAATGCTGGGATCTGGAAAATCCAACCAACCAACCCACCGGCTCCTCACCGTCTCCACCTCTGCCTTTGACTGACACATCAATCTGTCAATCGGAACCGCCTACCATGCGATTGGTCGGATGGCGTTTCGGGGGGCGGTGCATGCAGAGAAGCCAACAGAGCAGTAAGCGCAGCAGCCGAAGTGTGGAAGATGACAAGGAGGGCCACCTGGTGTGCCGGATCGGCGATTGGCTCCAGGAGCGATGTACAGCCACCTTTCGTAAACTTTACCTCTACTTCCTCCCCCTGTTAGACCAGACCTGCCCAGAGGGCTGCTGGTACGCTGGCGCCTCAGGGCCCCAGTGGTGACCTAGCAAGTTGTGTTAAGAGTGTAGCCGTGAGAGAGCCTTTTTGTTTCTGAGAATTTGAATGCTGTGAACCTGCAGGAGCTGCCGTGCCCCTGCCCTCAGATGCTCACGCAAAGCTTCTGTTCTCTCCTAGATGAGATCGTGGGCAACCTGGGTGAGGGCACCTTTGGCAAGGTGGTGGAATGCCTGGACCATGCCAGGTGAGCCTCAGCAGAGACCTGGAGTGGAGGGTGGGGGTTGCGCGCACCAAGGGGCTGCCCTGTGGCAGGTGTTCTTAGGGCTGTGTGAGTGGCCTGGAATCAGGAAGAAAGTGTGGGTCTGGCAGGCAGGAGGCCCCTCTGCCCCAGGACCTGGTCCTCCAGCACTAGCGGGCTGCCTCGGAGCCGGGCCAGCATCCCTGGGCATCTGCACCAGGCAGGCCCAGGCTGGCACCTTGGGCACCATAGGGTGTGCCTGTCTACCTGTGTCATGCTGCCCCTTCTCAGGCCTGGGACCTCTGCTGCTTCTCGGGAGCCAGGGTCCCGCCCATCAGTGTGCAGCTCTGGCCACCAGGTGCCAGCACGGCTCACTGGCTCTTCACTGTGCTGAGGCAGAGCGCCCCCCTTAGGGCTGTCTGCAGTGTCCCTGTGTCAGAGAGGGGCTGGGAAAGAGTGGACCCTGGTGGTGCTGGCCAGCCCCATGGCTGCCAGCTGGGCAACAGTGGTGACTGGCAAGACCCCTGTCATCAGTTTCCACTGAAAGTCCTGGGCTCAACATGGCCCATGTGAGTGCAGGGTGCCCTTAGTGTGGGGACCAGATGGAGACACCCCAGAACTCTAAGGTCAGGGTGGTGCATACAGGCTTGGCATTCAGACCCTTGGGGTCAGCCGCTGGGGGACAGGGGCTTGCCCTGCAAGGCACTGTAGGGCGGGGCCTCCCAGTGAGAGGGGGAAAGGAGAACTGTGGAAGTGACCTCAGAGAACACACCCTCCTAGGCCAGGCTGCCCAGGTTGTGTGCCCTGGGCATCTAGGGGCTTGCCTGGGTGGCCCACCTCACTGGGCTGCTTTTTTGCTCACATCCCATATATGTGGCAGCCCAGGTGGGGTCAGTGGGCTATGCAGAGTGCAGGGATGGTGGGGGCCCTCAAGGGACTTTAACCAAGGGTCCTAGCCCCAGCACCAGCGTCCTTCCCCCTTGCCAGGCCTTGGCACCTTCCTGGACTGCCTGTGGGAGGCTGAACATGAACTGGGTAGTTGGCTCCAGCAGGCCAGGCCAGCGCCAGGAGCCTCCCTGTCAGGCCCGGGGTAGCTGGGTGACTGACGGTGGCTCTGCTTCCTTCCGGGGCCCAGGGGGAAGTCTCAGGTTGCCCTGAAGATCATCCGCAATGTGGGCAAGTACCGGGAGGCCGCACGGCTGGAGATCAACGTGCTCAAGAAGATCAAGGAGAAGGACAAGGAGAACAAGTTGTGAGTGTCACCCGGCCTTGGGAGGCCGCACCAGGGAGGGGACGCCACCGATCTTTCTCTGCACGTGCAGCTGCGTGCTGGCCTGAGGGCGGCTCCCACCCAGTCTCAGCCCGCCCGTCCCGCCCACAGCCTGTGCGTGCTGATGTCAGACTGGTTCAACTTCCATGGCCACATGTGCATCGCCTTCGAGCTGCTGGGCAAGAACACCTTCGAGTTTCTCAAGGAAAATAACTTCCAGCCCTACCCCCTGCCCCACGTGCGGCACATGGCCTACCAGCTCTGCCACGCCCTGCGCTGTGAGTGCCCTGCCTCCCAGCCTTAGACCCTTGGGGTCCTCCATGGTTGGAAGGGTGACGGAGAGATTGAGCATGAAACAGCAGGTGCAGCTTGGCCAAACCTGGAAGCCTGACCCATGCTCAGACCCAGCACCTGAGCTGCATGGGCTGGCTGTGCAGCCACAGGAGTCTTGGGCCTGACTCGGCCTCCCGCTGCAGCGGTCTCCAGAGCCTGAACACAGAACAGGGGCCCCTCCCGAGTGCAGGGCCAGCCCGGGGCCTCAATACCGCCTCCCCCCACAGTTCTGCATGAGAACCAGCTGACCCACACCGACCTGAAGCCCGAGAACATCCTGTTTGTCAATTCCGAGTTTGAGACCCTCTACAATGAACACAAGGTACTTATGAGCAGGAGGTACCCATGGGGGGTGGGTACTGGGGCAAGTACCCACTGGGGCAAGTTGGGACTGGCTGGCTGTGTGGCCTTGCAGAGCTGTGAGGAGAAGTCGGTGAAGAACACCAGCATTCGGGTGGCCGACTTCGGCAGCGCCACCTTCGACCACGAGCACCATACTACCATCGTGGCCACCCGGCACTACCGGCCACCCGAGGTGATCCTTGGTGAGTGAGGGCCAGAGGTGGGCCGCGTGCCGGGGGGGGGAGGGTGGCTTGCCCCAGCCCTGCACTGGGCTTGAGTGACAAAGTGGGGCCCGGCACACTCACACTGCCCCGCCTTGGCTTTCAGAGCTGGGCTGGGCTCAGCCCTGTGATGTCTGGAGCATCGGCTGCATCCTCTTCGAGTACTATCGGGGGTTCACGCTCTTCCAGGTGCCCTGTGGGGGCGGGGCTGAGGGGGCATTCCCGGGCAGGGGGCCTGGGACAGGGCCTGACCCGCATTCTGGCATCCTGCAGACCCACGAGAACCGAGAGCACTTGGTAATGATGGAGAAGATTCTGGGGCCCATCCCTGCCCACATGATCCGCCGGACTCGGTAGGAACCCTGCTGCTCTGCTGCCCAGGGAGGGGGTCCTTGGACATGGCCACAGCCACAGCGTCCCCCGTTGACCTGGCATATGTGTGTGACCCCTGTCAGGAAGCAGAAATACTTCTACAAAGGGGGCCTAGTTTGGGATGAGAACAGTTCGGATGGTCGTTATGTGAAGGAGAACTGCAAACCCCTCAAGGTCAGTCTCCCCTCTCCCCAGGCTGTGGGTGTCCTCCCTGACCCTCCCTTTTCTCAGGTGGGGGTGTGAGGGGAGCCCCTGATGTTGGGGTGTATGGGTGCGGTGACGCCGCGGCATGTCCCTGCAGACCTACATGCTGCAGGACTCGCAGGAGCATGTGCAGCTCTTTGACCTCATGCGGCGGATGCTGGAGTTCGACCCCGCGCGGCGCATCACGTTGGCAGAGGCCCTGCTGCACCCCTTCTTTGCTGGCCTGACCCCCGAGGAGCGGAACTTGCACACCAGCCGCAACCCAAGCAGATGACAGGCGCGGGCCGCGAGCCGGAGTGGGACTGGGCTGCTGCTGGGCCCTTGTTTGCGGCCTCTCCCACCGGGCCCAGGGCCAGAGCCACACCATGGACAGTGCAATGTGAAGGCAGGCAGGAGCCTGGGGGACGTGGTGCCCAGCTGGCAGGAAGCACAGACTTGACCGAGCTATTTATATGTTGTAAAGTTATAATAAAGTGTTTCTTACTGTTTGTAACCCCGGGTACAGTGTGTCCGTCGCCAGGCTCCTGTCCTCCCTGCCACGGTAATAAAGTCTTTCTCAGCAGTTGGGCTATGGAGCGCTGAGTGTACACTGGGCCAGCCAGGTCACCTGCGGGGCAGTCACCACACAGCGCAGCCTCGTTACTGTCACTCTTTATTGTCACCCACCCAGCCAGGGCCATCAGAGCAGGTGGGAGGAGCCTCAGTGCTGCCTGGGACAAGGAAGGAGAGGCCCGCAGACTGCTGTGGCCCTCGGCAAGGCGATACCCCAGGCCACTGCCCCCCAAAATGCTAGCCTGCTCCCCGGATCCTGGATGCTGGGCTCGCCTCACACTGCGGAGACAACTTCACGCTGCAGGAGGGGAAGGGCCAGCCCTCCCATCAACTCCTAGAATAAAGACCCTCAAGCCGAGTCCTCTGTAGCAGCCTGGTCCCAGCCTGCCAGCCCAGAACTAGCCTTGCTTTGGCACCCTGGACACAGGTCAGCTGACTGGTATGAACAGCAGAGCTGGGGAGCGTGGGCAGGGGTGCATGCCCTCCTGGGGGACAGAAGCCACAAAGGAGTGTTTCAGGGGTGGGGTGGGGTGGGGAGGTCAGAGGAACCCTAGGACACAAGCACCAGGGAGCCTCGTCTGGCTCAGCACCGGTTCCCCTAAGGGCCTCCCCAACACTGACCATTAAAGCTGTACCCTGAGGGGGCTCCTCAAGACTAGGAAACCCTCAGCAGAGGGCGGGCACTTCAGCACTACAGAAACAGAGCCTAGCGTGCCCCGTCTGAGGAAGCCCCAGACCAGTGTGCAGGGCCCGCCCTCCCGCCTCAGAGACGCGGTGGAAAGGAAGCCACCGCCCTTGGGATTCCGGTGGGTTGGGGCAGCCCCGTGGACCGCATGGTTAGAGGACGGACTCTGCCACCACAAGCACTGCCGCCCAGCCCTCTGTACAGGGCAGGTGGGGGTTGGGGGAGCCTGCCCCAGCTGAGGGCCCCATTCTCTTGCCAAGAACCCAACCCAGAAGAGCAAAGCACAACAGAGTCCAAGGAGCTCCCATCTTAAGGCGCTTGTCCTCTGCGGCGGCGGCAGGCTGGCTGGGAGCCTAGGCTGAGTGCAGAGGGATGACAAACTTGCAGCCGAAGGGTGAGTGGTAGTTGATGCCCACCTCCTGGAAGACCTGCTGGGGAATGCCGATGTCGCACAGGTAGACCCGGCCCGCGTGCTCACCCAGCGGCAGGGGCAGGCCCAGGGCCAGGGACCACTTGGCGTCAATGCCCTGTTCGACTTCATGCACGGGAGGGTCTATGCTGAGGACTGGAGCGCGGTTCTGGTTGGCCCAGGCCACAGCTGCCTTGTACCACGGCTGGTCCCGCAGGAAGGCGTTCTCGGGACAGTCCAGGCAGTTGATGACCAGGTCCACGGGGCTGCTGGGCAGATCTGCAGGGAGACGGTAGCTACAGCCTGCAAGGCCCACGAGTGGCCTCCTCTAAACCCCTCAGGCCTGCATTACAGGAGGGCCTAGCTACCCCGACCCAGCATGCTGCACAGCACACACTGGGAGGGTCCACCCACAGCTCAACCAAACCCAGGGGAGTGCCTCTCCGGCCCGGCTGGGGCAGGAGCTGAATCACCCAGGAAAGGGGACGGGAGGCAGGCAGGAACACTCACTGCAGGGCACCGAGCAGAGGTCAGCTGTCCTCTGTGCCCACAGAAGCACAGCGTGAGAACAGGTAGCCTGGGCCCAGGCGTGACCCTCTCCAGGCCCACCCTCCAGCCCTGCTCTGTCCCCTTGGCTCCATACCAGCCAGCACAGCAGGCAGCTAGGGCTCATACTCCCAGCACACTTGCCACTCCTGCTCACCTGCCCAGGTCACCCGAACTCCCCGATTTCTCAGCCTCCGGCCCAGCCCTCCCCACCTGCAGCCGAGGTGGCGTCTCACCATGGCCTCAATGCTCCCGTGCATGGGGCTATAGGCTCTCAGCCCACCGCACTGGCCTGGCTCAGAGACAGCACCTCAGTCACGCAGGCCAAGATCACAGAGCCATCCTGAACTCTTCTCCCACACCTCTGCCCATGTGCTGGCTCCACCTTTCTGGAGGATTCAGAAAGAAAGCCCTGCACCATGGCCGCCAGCCCGCACTGCACTGGGTCAGCTAGCACCTGTGTACCCCTGCAGCCTTCCCCCCACGTCCTCCTGCAGCACTGGGCCCGCCCTATGCTGTGCCCACTCAATACTCCTTAGCCCCCTGCCCCCACCTTGCAGAACATGTCACGGTTGTGAAAAAGCAGAAGCGCCTGCAAGCCTGGTCACAGCCTTTGGCACCAGGGGGGTGATGTCCCATGAACATCTGAGGTCAGCGAGTCCCCAGCTGTGCCCAGGAGCTGAGGGGATGGAGCAGGCCGGGGCACCCAGGCTCCCACACCACAGGCTTCCGCCAGTTGCCACTTGGTGGCGCCAGCAGCCCGCCCAGGGACCAGGGCAGCCGCCTGTGGACACACCCACCTTTGAGGCTGGACACCTGCTGGCCCTGGGTCTTGCTGAAGAGTGAGAGTTCGTTGGTGATGGACTCCAGCATCTTGACAAAGTTGGGCAGGAAGAGGATGACTTGGACGTCATGGTTGGCCAGGTGCCTGCCACAGCTAATGCCCTGAGCCCCTTTCACGTGGGGCCCACAGAGCAGCGCCACTGTGGGCCTCTGGTGAACATTTTTGGGGTTTAGCCTGGAAGAAGGTGAAGTAGCATCAGTCACAGTCCGGTCCCCGCCCCTGCTGGAGCGCCAACCCCATGTGACTGTCAGGGCCCCCCCAGGGAGCTCATGCAGCCCCTTCTCACGGGCTCGGGTTCCTGGTGTGGCCCACTCGGCCCACATGCCTGCTGTCCCTGGCCGATGCCCAGGCAGCCAGCACTCTGCACACAAGGGTTTGCCTTCTCCCCGACCCAGCTCAGCCTCGCCTCGGGGAGTCACTCTGCTCTCCTTTCCGCAACTCCTAACTCCCAGCTGGTGCCAATGTAGGACAGCACTCAGCAGGGCACAGGGAGGACTGACGGGAGGCAGAATGCCTGGGAGAGAAACAGAGGGAGGCGCGCTGCTGCTTCCCTGCCCAGATGCCCACATGGGCCAGGAGCAGGGCCAGCAGCCGGGAGCTCATCAAGGGCTCCCACAGGATGCGCAGGAAGCGGAGCACTCAGGCCGTAAGCCACGTCCCAGCTGCATGAGCAGCAGGCTGGGCTGGAGCACAAGAGCCAGGACTCAAACTGACGCTGTAACACGGCGTTTAATCAGCTACAGCCCTAATTCAGGGTGATTGCAAAGTGTCTTCCGTGGCCAGCCAGGCTCCCTGGACTGGGTGGGAGTCTGCCTTCCCAGGACGCTGCACCAAGGCAGGGCTCTTGGCAGTGGTGGCGGACACACAGGAAGCGCCTGGCAGATATCAGCCCGCACCCTGTCATGCCCCTGTTCCCTGCGGTGCAGTCGTTAGGATCACGGCCAGCTCTGCTCGGTCTGGATGCACCCCTAGACCTCACAGCCAGCCCTGGCCCAGCCCAGCAGGAGGCACGTACCTGTTGGGTCCCCCGAGCAGAGTCAAGGCCATCTGGCTGGCACACACGCCGGTCACCTCCAGTCTCCTCTCCAGAGTCAGCCCGTGCTTCTCGGCCACAGCCAGGAGCTTCTTATGCAGCTCATAGGAGACACTTGGAACGACAAGGCCAGAGTCTGCAGGACAGAGGGAGGTGAGGGGAGCCAGGGAAAACCAGTCCTGTCACGGGCTCCCCTTTCTCAGGACCCTGCACCAGTCACTCCCGCCCCGGCAGCCCACACGCAGGCCTGGGCAGCCAACAGCCCACCCGTGACTCCCCCTTCCTTCCCGGAGGTGGGCGAGCTCGACCTGCAGGGGCTGACCTCCATCGGGGCCTGGCCACACACCTCCATTCTTGCCTGCATTAGCCACTGCTCTCTCCAAGCGTTCTACCTGCTGCTGTCCCACTGTCCCCCTCAGCACAGGGGGACCCTCCGAAACTACTGGCAGGGGTTCGTGTAGGGCTTTCACTCTACGCAAATGAAAACGACTTCACAGAGGCCATGGTGAGGCCTAGCCAAACTGAGACAACGCTACAGCCAGTACCTGGCGTCCCCAGGCTGGGTCTCCACCAGGGTCCAGGGCAGCACTCTGCCCCCCGTGGCCCCACACTGACCATCCCTGCAGACCGTGCCCTCCCAAGCTTTGGTGGTCAGCAGAGGTGAGCACACGTAAGCCCAAAGACAGGACGGGGCCTTTTTCCTTTTATAAGACATATGCATTTATTTGGGAGACAGAACGACAAAGAGAGGAGACACAGACAAATCAACTACCTGCTGGTCCACTGCCTAGATGGCCACAACGGCCGGGCACTTGCCAGTCCAAAGCCCGCAGCTTCTTCCAGCTCTCCCCTATGGGTGCAGGTGCCCCAGCACTTGGGCCATCCTCTGCTGCTTCCCCAGGCACGCCAGCAGGGAGCTGGATTTGCAGTGAAGCAGCAGGCAGCTTTCTGTGCTGTGTCACAGCACCAGTCCTGAGCTGAGCCATTTCCAGCCCAGCCTGACCGCAAGATAGGCCTCGTCAGTGAACTCATCCAGTGCCACCATGGGAAGGTAAGAGGACCACCTCATGTGACACAAACAATTAAAATGCTCAACATAAAAAACGCCACCCTGTCAGCTCCCCAAGGCCTAGCCCTGTCCTGACCACCAACAGTGCCGCCTTCCAACTTTGCTGTGACGCCAGTCCCGGCTTCCCAGGGGGCATGTCAATAGCTGATCTGGAACCATGTTTACGGCAGCAGTTTCCAGAACGAACAAACAACCTCAATAGCAGTGTGCTGCCCAGCCTGTCAGACAGACCCCGGTCCTGCCTGCATCACAAGCCCGTCCCCACAGTCCCCACGCCCCCTTAACAAGGCTGCTGCTGGGCTAAGCACCCTCCAGTCCCTAGCTCACAGGAGCAGGCAGTAGCATCTGCTGTCAGCCTCCCCCCCAACCTCCCCCAACTCGCACAGCCTCCCCACCCCGTCCTCCCCCAACTCGCACAGCCTCCCCCAACTCGCACAGCCTCCCCACCCCAGCCTCCCCCAACTCGCACAGCCTCCCCCTCACAGCCCCCCAACTCACACAGCCTCCCCCTCACAGCCCCCCAACTCACACAGCCTCCCCTCACAGCCCCCAACACACACAGCCTCCCCTCACAGCCCCCCAACTCACACAGCCTCCCCCTCACAGCCCCCAACACACACAGCCTCCCCTCACAGCCCCCAACACACACAGCCCCCCTCACAGCCCCCAACTCACACAGCCTCCCCCTCACAGCCCCCAACACACACAGCCCCCCCCTCACAGCCCCCCAACTCACACAGCCTCCCCCTCACAGCCCCCCAACTCACACAGCCTCCCCCTCACAGCCCCCCAACACACACAGCCTCCCCCTCACAGCCCCCCAACTCACACAGCCTCCCCCTCACAGTCCCTAAGGGCACACACGGGGCACAGGTCCCTCATCCTTGCTGACCTGAGTGGAGGTGCCGACACTGAGGGTGACCAGCTAGGAAGGCAGCGCACTCACAGCTTCTCCCAAAGGAAAAACGTCCCTTCCAAACACGGCCCAATCCACCCAGGCCCCCCAGCTGACGGGAGAGGCGCAGAGGGAGCGGATGCCTCACCAAAGGAGGCGTGGGGCTGCCAGCTAAGGGCCACTGGGAGCTGTCTGGTCACTGCTGGGAGCTGGAGTAGCAAGGCCAGGCAGGGCCAGGCTCCTGGGCCAACAGCCGCCTGGTTAGGCAGGCACAGTCACCTTTACCATGAGCAGATGGGGGAAAGGGTCGGGGGCAGGCAGCCCCTTCAAAACTCCTAGGGAGCAGACACACAGGCAGATCACCCACTCTGCCCAAGGCCAAGAGAAACCCGGCCTAAGCCACAACCCCAGTCTTGAAAATCAAAGGGCCGGGCCCGGCAGCGTGGCCTAGCGGCTAAAGTCCTCACCTTGAACATGCCGGGATCCCATATAGGCTCCGGTTCTAATCCTGGCAGCTCCACTTCCCATCCAGCTCCCTGCTTGTGGCCCGGGAAAGCAGTCGAGGATGGCCCAAAGCCTTGGGACCCTGCACCCGCATGGGAGACCTGGAGGAAGTTCCTGGATCCTGGCTTCGGATCGGCATAGCATCAGCCATTGCGCTCACTTGGGGAGTGAATCGTTGGATGGAAGATCTTCCTCTCTGTTTCTCCTCCTCCTCTCTGTACATCTGACTTTCCAATAAATAAATAAATCTTTAAAAAAACTAACAAACAAAAAAACCAAATTGCACATTAAAAAAAAAAAAAGAAAGAAAACCAAAGGGCCATTCCACTGATCAGCCAGCACAGACCCTTTATGGAAATCAAGAGCATAAAACAAAGCTGGCAGAACTTCTCCAGGCTAAAAGAAAAGATACTTAGCAATTGTAGTGTACCACGGCAGATTAGAAACAGCACCCTGCTCACCTCTGCCCATGGCAGGGGGCCCAACCACAGCACCTGGCAGCAGGTGGGCTTACCACACCATGCCACCACTGCTGGGTTGCCCAAGCAGAACATGCAACCTTGTGCACCAAACTTAGGAATGGGCCACAGTGGGAGCCAGCGCACCCACAAATGAGTGATAGAGCTGGGATGTGGGGTGGGACAGAGGGACCTAGAGGCCTAAGGTCTGGCCGCCAGACAGACACACACACACACATCTATATCAGATCAGGGGTCTGGTCTAGTGAGGCTTCTGGAGATCTGCCTGAATTGACCACTACCTCCACCAGTGAGCACAGGAGCCATACTGGCTGTGGGCTGGGACCAGCCACTACACCTGCTGACACGCAGCAGAGCTGGGCCATTGTACCTGGGTGCAGGCTGGGCCAAGTCACAGCACCCACTGACATGGCTGAGTACCAGGCCTGGGGGCCAGTCTCTGACCACAACACCACAAAGTGTGTGAGAGCTGGGTCTAGGGCCTGTGAGGCACAGACGCAGTCGGAGGGTCTCTCCAACTAGGACACAGCATCTACCAATATGCATGGGGACCAGAGCTGTGGGCAGGCCGAGCCAAGCAGACGCACTCTCCGGGGCATGTGCGGGCTGGGGCAGGGAGTTGGATAAGCTAGGCTGCTCTACTTGCCAGAACACTCAAACCAGGTCTGAGGACCGGCCTGGTAGGGATTCTTAGGATGCTCCCAACTCGACCAAGGCACCCAATGCCAGACCTCAGGGAAAATCACAAATGTGTGATCTGGCTTGGAGTACATGTTGCTAGACTAAGCTACCTCAGTGGTATATATACCCAGATGCACACAAAAGACAAGACTCCAGTCCAACACAGGACTTAAAGCACCTCATCAAAGAATGGAAAGGGAAGCAAGTTGAACAACACCGCAGGCCAAGTTCTACAGCAAACACCCACCTCTGGATACACCAAGGAAGACATGGAAAGCCAACAGACCTTACTAGTAACTTTTCATCTCTGCTCTGAAGAAGCCAACAGCTTTCAGAACAATTAAGACCACTCAAGAAACACCCTCAGGACTTTCCTCCCCCATCCCACATTGGGGTAAGGCAACATCAAAAGACCGTCCCATCCCTGGCACTCTTGCAGGCTGACAGCAAAGAGTAGCGCCCATCTCTCCCACCCCAAGCTCCCACTGAGAGGGAAGGCAGAAACTTCTCTTACCTCCCCTTCACTCTCATCCTAATCAACAGTCCACATGGGTTTGCAACCTTTGTAATTAAAAGACTTAGAGGATCAGAGAGAGAGCACCCTCGATACTGCCAGACGCAGCTGAATACCAGGTGTTAGAATCTTCTGTGGCAGCCTACTGGCTGCTGGTGGGTCCCAGGCCGGGGCGTCTTCATGCTCAGATCCCTGACTCCAGCCACCACATGCACATGGTGAGCTGTCCCTGGGTCTGCCTGGGCTCCATGGTATGCTCCCTTTGGGGTGAGTACACCGAGGGGGGGAGTTTCAGGGGCCCATGCAGGTATGGGGGCCCACCCACCACCATCATTGAGCAGTGGATGGGATTGGGGAGGGGTGCGACCTTGGACCTGGAGGATGAAACTTCCAGCAGCCTGCTGGCTGATGGTGGGTCCCAGGCCCGGGCGTCTCCATGCTGGGATCCCTGACTCCAGCCACCACATGCACGTGATGAGCTGTCCTTGGGAAGCCAGTGTGCCATTTGGTGCCAGGCTCCGCCTACTGGCTGCCCAGCAGCAAGCTCTGGGGTTTTGGTTCTTTGAATCGCTGCTTATGTAAGCTCTACGTTGAACCCACTGTGCTTCTTGGATGTGAATCAATCCTAAAGATTCCCAATGACAGAGTAACTCTTCTTTAAAGAACTTATAATCACTGAACAATGCTGACCACCGTACACCAGTCCATGCAAAAGCTAAGGCTTGGAGCTTGTCTAGCAGGATCACATCCTATTACCTGACATGATGGTGGGTCAGGAGATGGGTCACATTAGGTAGGGCCACGACATTAACTAGCACGCCAGACAACCATATCCGGGGGTAGATTCTGTGGGGGATGTGTGGGTCAAATCCTGTGCAATTTCTAGCTACACGGGTTAGCTCAAGAGTTAGGGTGGTGATAGAGTAAACGAGGTATGACCAAGGAGCCTGCCATCAATCACAGGTAAAGGAACTGACAATAGTCTGGACTGGTC